AGTGTTGTCACTCCATGATCTGATAAATCGATCTTACCATTGTACATATATCTTATATAATGTATGAGCATAGAAATTAATTTCAATTTAATAAATCTAAACACATTCATTAAAAGATTACCGTAATAAGGTTTCAAAAATACGCGGCTCAATATTTGGTTTCTTAAAGACGATCAATTTGTTAGGTTCTCGTTTTACCCACGCATCAGAAAAAGCAATAGCAAAATATTCCGATTGCGCAACTAGCATTGATGAATGCGCTGTAAAAGTTCGCTCATTATTTGGAGTGTTCCCAACAATGATCGAAATGTCGCAATATTTGGCATTTTCATAAAATTTTGCCAATTTATTAGAGTGTGAAGTCAATAAAAAGTCAGCTTTCATGGTAAATATTTTTATTTGCCTTCTTATCGTTATGTTTTAACGTACGTTAATCAATTTCAATAATAACGATAGTGTTACCAATAACATTTAGAATTCCAATAAATTACTTCCGACATGTCTTTTGCATGTGATCGACTTGTGACACCTTACGCGTTAAAAAATTATCAATATTCCCAATTTCAACAAGAATTTTATTCGACCTTTTTTCTTTTGGCAATAGATAGTAAACATACATAATGAGTTGATCAACTAAATAATTGGACCTTTTAATAAAAAAATTTACATTATTTTGCCCATCTAGTCTATTGTTTTGAACATTATGTATATTAGTACACTGTTTTGACCATTCGATACAAGGTCTCGCCCACTCTACAAAATAGAATAGTAATTAGTCTAATTTTTAGTATAGTTTTTCACTCGTTTATCTTTAACCGTGTATCCAAACATCTACATAAAAATTAACGTAAATAGGCCCATCCTTGATCCTTAAAGGACAAGTATGAAATAAAATAAAAAGTTCAAAATAATTAAAGAAGAATTACCTCTTACTTTGTCACTTCAGTTTTTGTCACTTTTACCAGAAGAAAGCTATTTTTTTTGTTGTACGCTTTAATTACTTCCTTCATAAGATAATCTCGCCGTAAAAGAACCTTTGGACAGTAACCTAATTCGCAAATCAAGAAATCCAATCAAACTAATAATAGACGAACTTTTCCTTTGTTAGCAGAATAATCTCCTCTAATTCTCTCTAATTAATTCCCCGCATTAACCACATATACTCACCTTTACCATCAACAGTAATCGTAGTTACTGGCACTAGCCTTTAGAAACCAAATAAAAGAGATCCAATCACTCCTAGGAAATTCAGAACGCTTGCACTATCCCATTTTGAAACCCAATAGATCAGATAGTCATATCATCTTGGTGCCCCACCCTCTGTGGATTTGATTGATTTATCATACAAAAAAAAGAAACCAGCCTGTATCAGTAAAGAATCATCTAATAATAATTTCTTATAGATAGCAATAATGAATTTTCGATTTCTAACTAAGGACAACGTAATACTTTGAAAGAAATCTCGAGATCAACTCGGTAGATAAAAGAAGAATCGTCCAACCTTGTTTAATCAAATAAAGTAAATAATCAAAGGGAAGAATCCGTAACTGCTTTAAAAAGAAATAACACTAGGAACACTTACCATGATGAATTTCAATAATCTTTTAGAATCACTTGAGGCATTGGCTGCTCAAATGACTCTTAATGCAAACCAACGATAAGAGAAAATAATTATCCAAATCCGGAAGTTCGAAGGTAATGAGCAGGATCCAGTCAAATAGTTAAATGACTATGAAGTTGCCGCACAAGCTAATGGAACGATGGATGATCATAAGTTACAAGTTGTTCGGGAATATCTTAACCACCATGTGGTTTGATCAATGAGCTTTTTTTAACAATATAATTTAACTGACTTGACTAATAATAATCAGGATGATCATGACTCCAATGGTTCCGGACTTCAAGGAAAGTAGAATAATGGTAAAACGAATAGAAGAAACCAAGACAAGTCAGGAAGATTGAAGTATATATAAACTGATTCATTGATCATTAAAGAAAGGTGAATTCTGATAATAATTCTATATACAAAAAGAGATTAAGACCTGATATTCAAAGATGGGTAAGTATAAGTGAAGAAGAGCAGACTAAAAGAGTAGAAGAAATAGAGGAAATTAAAAAATTCATTTTGTTCTACCATCAATCTCAAACGATCCAAATTCAGCCTATGAATAACATCATGAAGGCACTACTGACGTTAACAGATAAAGTAGAATGCTTGAAAGCCAGTTAGAGATCAAATCATTCTCTTTTCAACCAGCATATAGCATCCATCCTGACTGGCATTAATACACACCCCCACAATATATTACCGGAAATAACAAAAATAAAACTATCATTTTGTAGTCTAATATCTCAAAATCCAGTGATCCCATTTAAATGAAGATATACCATAAGATTTATGGAGTCGAAACAAATTTAATGAGAGTATTTTCATTTAAATTGGATTATTGGATTTTTGAGATATTGGAACTCAAAGCAGCAGATTTGTTTTTGGGATTCCGGTAATATATTGTAGGGGAGTGTACGTTATAATTGCTAACAGGAAGGACACACCTCGAAAGATTGCCATATGCCTCACCAACTCAAAATGAATAAGTAATTGGAAAATGAATCCACCTCCGGTTTCAATCCAAAATAATGACAAATGACAAAATCAACGAAGCAATGAAATAAATGATGAACAAAATCAAGAACAAAGAAATAATAACCATTTATCACCAAGTTCAACAGTTCTCAGCCAATTCAGGAAATAACTGTATTCTCAAGCTACTTCTACTTCATTGTGAGAAAGCCAATCCTTGTTTGCTACTCGTGATTATTTAGTCAGAGAACGAAGATGGTCTAAAATGATAATGTCAGAAAGAAACCATTAATCCAATCAACATTAAACTGGAAACAAGTGCTGTCACTGAAGTAGCCATTGAAGAGGCTATTGCTAAAGAAGTAGAAGAAGAAAGAAGATTAACGAATCAAGAGGATGATTATATTTTCTATATTGGGTATCTAGAGCCGAAACTTATAACATAGTGGAAGATATAACCAACCAGAAAGCAAATATACCTTCGAAATTGAATGAACAAATCGAAGTACTATGAATTCAAAGTTACATAAATCTCTAACACAATTTTAAAAAGTACATGTACATGTATATGTATAAGAACATGAATGTACAATACGCAGCCCGATGCAAAATTAAAAATAAAAATTTAGATCATTTTTAATTTATTTGATTTTCGTCAATTTATACACCAAATAAAAAATAAAATTTATTTAATATTTAATTGGCCTCCAATACTGCATTAATTTTTCGTGGCATGTGATGCAATAAACCATTCTAAAATAACCACATCAAGTTTTTCCCACTCCATCTTCAGTGCAATCTTAAGGTCGTCGGAAAGTTCTCATTTTTTTTTAATATTGTCCTTCAATGTTCTCTATTGGTTTCAGGTTTGAGGAATTCACCGGACAATTAATAATTGCGATTTTATTTTCCGTTAGCCAATCCTTTATTTTTCCCGCAGTATGTATCGGCGCATTGTCATTTTGAAAGATTGCGTAACTTCCAGTTAATTCCCTAATTGCGAATGGAATGGAAGTAATGGATTTTTAAGAATTCGAGGTTAGTATTTGCAGTCATTTTTTCGCCAATTTTTTTATATTCATCACAAAAAATTAATGTTCCTTCCGCAAAATATCCCAAACCATTACAGATTTTTGTCCACTTTTAAAGGTAGACGCCAAATAATTAACGTTAAACGCCAAATTATAGTGTTGACGAAGTGGCAAAAGATAAATAAAGTGATGCTTATTAAATCGGCCACTTTTAGGATGCAATATCTAATGATCCGATATTATTCGATTCACCTAGTCAAGGTGTAATCTAGGTGAATCATGTGACAACATTTTGCTCGAATTGCACGAAGTTTACCAGCCTATAAAAAAGCGTAGATGATCAGCATTCGTATTGTTTCTTTATCTGTTATGCTCAGAAAATTTTAGTCATTGCACATGATCTACGGAAAGTCGGATACTTTTGAGGCTAACTGTAGTATTTGTTTACTTAGATCTACTCAGAAGTAAGGATTAAAAGTCAATACTGACTTAAAAAAAATTTATCTTTAAATAAGTTTTGAAGTATCAAAAGATAAAAATTTATCTTGTTCAAAAGCAAATATTTAAAATGCAAGATTAACTGGAGCAATAATATGTTTTTCTTGGACAAATGAAAAAATATGGGTGTTTATAAATATTTCATTTGGTTAAGCTTTGATAATATATTGTTTTTCATATGAATGTGCAAACTTAAGTAGATACATATTTAAGTACATTAAATAAAGAATACATTTACTAATAAAGATTTTTCTCATATATTGAATGAATGTTCGGATACGCTTTATAAAACATTCTGTAATTTATTTTTATTGAAAAGAATCAAGTAATAAAATCTTCAAATAAAAGACATGCATTTTCACGATTGACCTCCCTAATCCAATCTTCCTAAATGCAAGCTCAAACTCTGGCCCAAGTACATAAACGCAATTTAAGAAATTACGCACATTTATATCCAAATGCAATTTAATTAAATTTTACCTATTGCAGATTTTTTATAAAATTACTAATCTTTTTAGTTTATACGTATTGGCTAATGTAGAGAATGAACAACATAATTTCGTAGCAAATTAAGTGATTTCAAATGTTATATGTAATTAGGATTATAAACGGATATCATTCTATCAAAAATTTCAAAGAAAGTAAAATTATAATTTGCAATCGATGTCTTCCATCAAAATTGATTACTATAAATAATGAAACATAATTAGCTGTCATTTAATGTTGCCTAATTTATTAGAACGTCAATTTTTTTATAGATTAAAATAAAATTGTCATTATAAATATAACTCATATAGAAGAAGGGAAGCGTTGGCATAACAAGACTTTTCTAGTGTTTAAAGACTTTCTTATGGATTAATACATCTTGAAATAAAAATTAAAAATAGTTCTTAAAGCTTGCGACCGTAAATTCGATATTGGTCACCATATGTGTTACATTTCTCTGCTTCGATAAAGACTGTTTCTAGAAGAGCATCGAAATGTTCAGGTGTAATATTCATGAAAGAAGCGAAAACAGTCCTAGCTGTGCTTATACCTCTTACATAAAATTTTATTGACTTAGAATAAAAGCAGTTAAATAATCAGTTAAGCTGGAAAATTTCATTAGAGTGATTATCAGTTTTGCGAAATAATCGGGTAATTATTGAAATTTACCTCTTGACCAGATTTACCGCCTCTTTGACCCATAGTAATAGTTTTTATCTCACTTTTAATCTCTGAGAAAGCATTGGTGTTTTTTAGAAATTGAGATAAAGATTTGTCAGTTTGGAAATGCAAATCTTTTGACTTAAAGTAATCGATCACTAAAAAAAGATTAAGTCAATGTTAAAAAAAAATTCATTACAATGTTGCTATCAAAACAACCAATACTTGCAGCAATTTGAAACACGTCGTGTAGCATTTCCAGTGGACGTAAAGACATAAGCTTCCGTGAATTCAATCCACCCGCCTGATTTGGTTATTCGTATCATTTCAGGAATAACTTTTTTTTCCCATTGCACATCTGTGTAAGCTGCAGACATAAATTTTTGGTGTGTAAAATCAAAATAGGAGTCTTCGAAAGGTGAACCATCCAGAAAATTACAATTGATGAATTTCAAGTTCACTGGAAGACCTTCTGTTGGAAAAATTGGTGAGAAATCTATTCCTACAAAATCAGAGTTGGGATATTTTTGCGCCATATCCTAAAAATTAAATGTGAAGTATGAGTTAAAATAATAAACTATCATAATACAGTACAATAGATTAACTTAAAAATTACCAAAAGCCATGTTCCTGTTCCACATCTAAAATTAAGTCATATATATATCGATCGTATAAATCAGATTTAAGCTTAATATAGCGATAAATTTTAAAGAAAGAATCTAATAACTACCCAACGTCAATCACTTTAGCTCCCTGTTTCAATTTCTTTTCAACAGGTGAATAATATAATCCGCCCCAAATCTCTTTCGAAGCTTTGAATTCAAAAAAATAAAATAAATCATTTTTAGTGACGATGATAATTTACTTATTCTCTCAAAGTAAAAAATGATAACTACCTTCGTGATATCGTACCAAACGATCAGCCTCCTCATCGTCATTTGCCAACATATATTCTGAATCAGAGATACTATGATATCGTCTACCATCAATATAACGAAACTTATTATCATCTTCATTATTGCGCCTAGAGCAGCAGACACCCATTTTAATTTTAATAATTCCGAGTACGTAAAAAATTCAATTTCTAAATACGTTCAATTAATATTTATATGCCACATAATTAAAATTTGTAATAGGGCTGATTTCGGATCTAGATATTGGACGGGCGGTCGTACATGTTATCTCTCGACGTGTCATATAAATTTATTCGGGCACAATCTCGTTTGTGTTACCATATCTCATTTACTACATGTAATTACAAAGATTAATACATGTAACAGACAAGTATTATATAAATATCTCTATCGTTCTGGCAAAATATTGATTTGATATTATTGGATTTTTGAATTTGTTATATATTAAACTTTAATTTGAAGCTTAATTTTAATTGCAAATTTTTTAAATCGACACTACTTACAATTCTGTCAAGAATGTCGCGATTGAAGTGAAATTCATGTGAAATTTTAATTATATAACTTTAGAACTCCAACCCTAACCCACCCTGACATAATCTTAAAAATCATTAACTAGGTATTCAGAGTTTTTGAAATATTATTATCGAGTAATTATTTATAAAATTAATAGCGATGGTGTGATTAATATTATCATCAATAATGTATATGCATATGTATATTAAACTTTTAAATATAAATAATTGATTCTATATATTTGAAAACGAAATAAAAACATTGTATTATTAGGTATAAAAATGGATAATGAAAAACCATTTTATTAGAACTTTGATAAATATATGTATTTTAGTTGTAGAGTATGAACGCCTTTATGATTATATGCGTTTATACTACATAAATGCTAAGAAAAATATCTTCTGAAGAAATTTTACTCGAAGCTCATGTTGATTTAAGATTGTGAGGTCATAAATGCTTAAAAAAAACTAACCATTGAATTTAAGTCAAGGAAGTTTCAATAACGAATTGTTGGTAATCAAATAACTTAAATTTAGAGAAAATGAAAGTAAAGTTAATAATGATATAGATTCAAAAGAACAAGCTTAATGATTATTTAAATATATAAAATTAAAATATGGGCCGTTGCAAAAAGATTGATGCACCAATATGAAAATTAATAATTGCTTCTAATAAAAATCATTCAAATTTTAACTAATCTTTGTAATTTTTTATATTAAATAAAAAATGATCTAAATTTACTTTTTATACTATTTTAATTATTTAATTATATTGTAATTTAATAATAAATGAAGTATTACTTTTTTTAAAAAAAATAATTTTATTTTAGTTTTTTTAGTAAAGACATTTTAAATATTATCATTATCAATTTGCAATATTAAAACTTCAAATTATGCAAGCAGGTTGCCCTATATTTGATAAATCTATATTCTAAATTTCATAAAAATTGAATCAATAATCATAAAGATATTAAGATTCAAAGTTTAGTAATTAAATTATTTACTATATAATTTTTATATTAATTTTAATTAAATTTTATATAGTAAAATTTAAGAAATAATAATTCAAAAAAGTTTATTATTAGTAAAATTTTTTTTATAAAAGATATATAATAAAAATTTTTATCTTTAAATAAATCCCAATGCCTAATAGCTTAATTAAATGGGGCAGAATTAAAAATTTTATTTTGAAAAAATAATCTATTAATATTTATCTGGTGTATCAAATTTTTCACAACGGATCATAGTTTTTTTTATGATTTCACTTGGTTTATTTCTTTCGTATATGCTTTTGATAAAACCAATACTAACAGTACATGGTCATTACCCGATACTAAATTATGATTATTAGAAATTTGACCTCATTAAAGCTTGAATTTTATCATAAATGTTACCGGATCCTTTCGCATGTCACCAAGCAGTAAATTTAGAATATAGATTTAAATGTTAAATTTATAATTGATCACTGAAATAGGTATCCGAGAAAGACACCTATGCCGGTGATACTTTATCTCGGAAAAATATTTGCCGATAGACACCGTCACTTTCTATGTCGGGTGAGTGGTACTTATCTCGGAAAAATATTTGCCGATAGACACCGTCCCTTTCTATGTCGGGTGAGTGGTATTATCTCGGAAAAATATTTGCCGATAATTCCGTTTCGATACAGAGATGGGCAAATGCACGCATATGCGCATAGTATATTCTGTATAAATTGAACTTAACCATATGCATAATTGTGTATGGGCATTTACGATATCGGTTAGTACATAGGCACATCTCTATGTTAATAAGCGAACTCGTGAATCTTAAATAGGTCGCCAAAAAGTTCGTTCTATCCGAGTACATGTATCCGATTTTGCATGCACAGCCTAATGTTCATCATCGGTCTAATATCATGCCTAATACCCCGCTTTCATTTTTATTATTAGAAATTATCGAATGAGCTGACAAATGCTTACTTTCATTATTACTAAAGTATAAGTTTTTTAAAAATATATAAGAGAGAATGATGATTGGGCTTAAAATTTTAATTTATTCTAATTTCTTCAATTAATTACACGCACAAAAATCAACTTAAAGAACAGATACCAAAAGTAGGCCAGGTCAGTTAATAATTATATGCTCTTTTAATAGATCTCATGCAAAATATGAAAGAATTTATTCATTTGAATGTTCTCGCTCCTTTTTTTTATGATACAATCCAAACAGAACATAAATAATAAAAATGGAATCTTCAACAAAACCAAACATTATAATAGTCGGAGGTGGATATGCAGGTGTACAAGTAGCCCAAGATCTTGACAAATCTCTCTCAAGAACACATCAAATAATTCTCATTGAAAAAAAGACGCATTTTTATCATGCGGTTGGTTCATTACGTGCAATGGTCGAAGAGAATTTTGAGGAGAAAATTTTGGTGCCATATACTTTGCTACTTAAAAACGGCGGGAAAGTTGTGCATGCTTCCGTTACCGAAATTCATAAAAATGAAGTGATAGTTGATACAGAAACTGAATGGGGGACTAGTATTCCATTTGAATATTTGATTCTCGCTACGGGAAGTTCATATGCTGCACCGGCTAAAGTCGATAAAACGACAAAAGAAGAAATCGTTTCAGAGATTGGAAAAAGACGTGATGCTGTCAAAAATTCCAACAAGATTTTAATTATTGGAGGTGGTGCAGTTGGCATTGGTAAAATATTTATTTTTTTAAATATTAATTATCATATCATGAATCTAACTGTACTGTATGCTAATCACTGTTTTTCTAAATTTATTATAGAACTTGCTGGAGAGCTTGCTACTGTATACAAAGAAAAAACAATCACATTGGTACACGCTGGAGAAACTCTTCTTCATCCAAAATTTCCAAAGAAACTTCGAGATGATTTATATAAACAACTCAAAGACTTAAACGTTAATGTAATATTTGGCGAAAAATTGGTACTCCCGGAAGGTGGTCTCGGTGATGGTGTCACTTACAAGAAATTACAAACGAATAAAGGCACTACAATCGAAAGTGACGTACAATTTTTTGCGATCGGTGCAAAACCAAACACATCTCTTGTTAAAACGCTTGATGCCTCGCTTTTAGAAGAAAAGACGAACCTTATTAAAGTCACGCCGACACTACAACTTGAACACGAAGAATTTAAACATATGTTCGCAGTTGGTGACGTTACAAATATCGATGAAACGAAAATGGCTTATCGTGCTGGACTACAAGCAGCTGTCGTCACGAAAAATGTCGAAGCTTTGATTTCCAAAAAGAAACTAACAGAATACCAACCACCGTCAGAAGTTATTGTGGTTACAATTGGTAAAACTGGTGGTGCTGGTTTATTGCCAATGTTTGGTGGTCTTGTCGTTGGGCCTTTTTTAGTAAAGAATCTCAAGGGAAAGGATTTATTTCTCGGTAAATATTGGAAGCAAATTACTGGCGAGGCTTTCCCTTCTTTGGCATCTGCCAAAGCTGCTTTTCCTGCAAATGCTGTTGTTCCTGTAATTGCGACTTTTGTGACCGTTATTTCTTATACTTTATATTACATTCTTTAAAATTCACTTAATTTAATTAATCGATTTGTCATAATATAATTAGAGTTTTCTTATAGCTACGAAATCAATTAAAATTCAAACAAAATTATCTCTATTTTATGTTACATATAATCGTGTTCAACATAGTGATCCTAACCGGTTAAGATTTTTGTAACCAGTTAACTGGTCAAATTAAATGGTTTAACCGGTTTGATTAGTTTCCTTATATGGAAGTTAATATTAATTGGCTAAATGATAAATAGGTGACTTATAATATATCGTATATGACTATATAAATTGGAACAAACTGACTTACACTTGTAGAACCTAAACAGTAGATATATTTAAATCAATCTGAAATGCCATTTTGATTGGATTTTATTTAGGATATACTGCGAAAACATTAGAATTTTGTTCAAGAAAAAGAATATCAGATAAACTTGTTGGATTAAAGTCGATTACGTTTTTCAGTTAATTTATTTCCAGCTATTGAAAAAAGATGTTCAGAAGGAACAGAACTTGCTGGAATTGAAAGATATAACAAGCTTGTTGTGCAAGAAAAGGAAAGGTAGTAGAATGAGTTTTCCACCATGTAATTGGACAATTTTTTCAGAAGGTTACAAGTCAGAAAGGTTGAGATAAAGATCCAATTCAGTATAAGATGGTTGTGATAAATTTGTTGTGTTTAGAATATCAAATGAAGTAAAGAAAATCTAACATTCAGAAGAATTATCATTATGCAAAGAAGAAGAAAGTGATTCAGGATTGATAAAGAATTTTAATAAGGATAGTATTTGTTCTTTTTCTCTCTTGATATGAAAGCTAGTGATTTGAATCTTGGCTCTAATAAAGATGCCAAAAGACTTAATTCTTTTAGATCTTTTCATTATAATTTCATAGATTCAAGAATTATATCACAAACTTCTTGAATTATTGGTTCATTAATATATAAATAAAAAATATGATGAAGATAAACAAAAAGATCTCAATTATTGGATAAATTGCTAATATGTACTGTCACTTAAAAATCTTGTTACTTTTTCAAATGATTGTAATAGGTAAACAAGTTCTTTTACTTTTTTCCAATTATTAAAAGTCAAGAATAAAGTAGCTAATTTGTTGTTATCTATATGAATTTATTGGTTATCTTTATGTTATATTACTTTATATAATACTTTAATCAAATATTTGAGATAGATAAGTCTATTCAAAGCTTTTAGTTAAATTCCACTAAATAGTAATATCTTGAATTGATATAAGAACTTCTTTTGCTAAATTTAAAGCTTTTTAAATTTAAAAAAACTGAGCCTGATATTTATTATGATGAACAAGAAATAAATTAAAAGATTTTATATAGATAAAAAGATCTTTAATATCAGAATAATGATTAATTAATAAAAACTACAAGATAGATAGTATATGTAAAATAGGAAATAGATTTTATATTTATATTTCAAGATTTTTACATTATTATTTGTAACTTCTTCAATAATTTTATTATATAAGCTAATTCTTTATTTATCAAATATATCAGAAAGTTTTGAAGTAATATTTTTTTCTGAATGATCATGTAATATTTTCTCAATCATAAATAAGATTTTACATAATTAAAAATCTTTGATTAATTAATAAATAGTAATATTAATATATAATTAGTAAAAACTAATTTAAAGATCTGTAATAAAACTAGCTTTTTTCATTATGTGATCAAGTAATTTGACTAGTATCTGCCTTGCAAACTTAATACTTTATTTAATAAGTAAATTTATAAAATTTTTTTAAATTTTATATTTTCTAATAATATAAATAATTATAAATCATTCATAATAAAATCAAGTAATCAAATATTAATATATTCTTATTTTATTATAGAAAAAAACTTAATATTTTTTTATCATTATTAAAGTATTTATTGTTAAGATAATTATAATTATAATTTAATTTCTGGCTAAAAAGATTTTGTATCTTTTATAATTAAGTATATTTCTATAAGATAATAGATATAAAATGATATTAAGAGAGTAAAAGTATAAATATTTAATAATACTATATGTTTCAATATTTTTATTATTATTATATTTAAATTATTATTAAATTTAACTGGTATTAATTCTTGTTTTTTTCTTTTTTTTTGTAAATTTATATTGATTAATAACTTAAGAACTAGTAATTGCAGTAGAAGTTAATTATTTATATATAATATTTATCTTTATATTAGTATTTTATTCTTCTTCATTTTGAATATTCTTATCATTAAAATTTCTTGTATAGATTAAATATTATATCTATTTATAAGCTTAATAGTAATAAGTGATATAGATAAAAAAATAAAATTATTTGATAATAGGTAATTAGATAAAATATCAAGAGTATATTTATCTTCTAAAAAAAGTTAGAAGAAAATAGTTATAACAAATAATTATTATTTATTATTAGATAATAGTAAAAAAATAAAGTTTCAATTTAATAAAAAGATATTATAATTTTTAATATAAAAAAAGAATCTTGTCTTTAAATTATCTCAATAACTTTATCAAATATACTTATATTATTCCTGATATTTTTTTAAATTTTTTACTATATGATTTGTAGCTTAAAATTTCAAAGACTAGCTATTTTTTTTATAAGTATTTTTTCAAGATATTATTGATATGTCAAATTTTTATTATATAATATAATGAGTAATTATCTTATTTTTAAATATAAAGATAAATTATGTAAAATATTCATAATTATAATTGATTAATATAAATAAAATTCTGATTGATCAAGAAAGATAAAAATAATTAATATCATAAAATAATAAGAGAATTATAAAATAATTTATTTTTTTATTTTTGTTTTTATTTTTAATTTTGATTATAATTAGATTTGAATTTAATTTAATTTAGTTTTTTTATGATGATAAGTTTATTTTTTTATAATTTAATTAGTTCATTTTTTATAAAAATTAAAGATATTAATCTTTTTTTTAATATTAGAAAAAAAAATATTTTTGATTTAGTTATTATATTTATTATTTCTTTAATTATTATCTTTGTTATATCTTTAATTATTATTTTTACTATATCTTTAATTATTATTATCTCTACTATATCTTTGATTATTATAACTTCTTCAATATTAAAGCTCATATTAAATAAAAAATAATATTATCTTTTTAATATAAATAATTTTTTAAAAATTCTAATAGAGAATTTTAATAATAATTAATAACTATTAGTAATAAATATTTAGATAAAATAATATTTATACAAATATATAAATAATAATATTCAAAAAAATTTTACCTATTATTTTATAAAATATTAAAAATCAAATATTTAATAAATGAAAAATATTCCAAATAAAAAATATTAAATAATAAGAATATAATTAAAATTACTTGAATGGTCTTTTCAAAAATAGTTTGAGTAGAATAATATAAAAATATTTCAAACTATATATATTCTTTATTAGAAATTAATAAAATAAAATGATCAAAAGTTATCAGAAGTTTAGTCAAAATAAAAATAGTTAAAAAGTATTTATCTTTAGTAATTAGCATTATTATTAAAGAATATGTAATAATAAAATTAGACCTTGATATATATATATATAAGTTAATATATAAAAAAGTTAATAAATATTAAATATAAAGTTTATAAATCTATAGAAATTTATCTTATTAAAAATTCAAAATTATAATTTGATAGTTTAAAAGCTGTTTCTTATATAATAAAATAGAAATATCTTATTAAAGATTATTATATTTTCTAATATTAATTAAAAATATTATATTTATATATTCAGAATAATTAAAGAAACTTAAATATAATAGTTGATTAATACTTATAAATTTAATATACAAAATCAACTGATAAAATTAATATTTATTTATTCTTTATATTTATAATATTTACAAATACTAGAATATGAATATCTATTTTTTATAAATAATAAGAATAAAGATACAGTTATGAAAGTATTAGTAATAAGTTATTATTATTAATCTCTCCATTATATACTTTTAATTATAGTAATATTAAAGCTAAAAGTATTAAAAAGATCTTGTCTAGTATAATTGCTAGTAAATAAAAATATTAAATAATTCTTTATATTATCTATATTATAAAATATAAATATAAAAAATTTATAAAAAAACTCAGGATATTATGATCATTATAATATATAAAAGAATAAGAATTAATTATGAAAGTCTTATTCAAATTACTATTAATTATTATTTTATTCTTACTAAAAATAATATAGCAAGTATATGATATTTATTTGTCACCTATTATAATATATTATAACTTCAAAATTTTATAAGTTGCAACTAGTTATAATTAAAAAATGCTTATTTGTTATTATGTTACAATAGTTGAGAAGCTATCTTTAGCTCTTACTATATAAAATTCTATTAAAAAATCTATATGAAAAATATATAGTAATAGAATTTATGAATTTATTAATATTCTTTTTTGCTTTTACAAGTCAAGACTATAAATCTATTAGAATTTTTTCATAATAAATTAAAAAAAATATTTTATTATATAGTTTAATTAGTATAGGATTTTTTTATTTATTTTATTTATCTATCTATCTCATTTTATATTCAAATTTTTATTTTTTTAGATGTTATTCATAATATTATCAATATTAATTATAAAAAATAATCTGAATCTGAAAGTACTACCTTTATTAATATTATATATAAATACTTTCTTGAAATTAAACTTAAAGATATTCTTGAGAAAATTCATAGATTTTTCTTTTTATTCTAATAATTAATTACAAAAAAATATCAAAATTATTATATAATTAAATTTAACTGATTTAATAAAATTATTAATATGTAACTATTCATATGATTCTTATACTATATTTATTTATATATTACTTAAATAGATTATTATTTATTATTTTAATTTAATCTTTTACAGATTGTAAAATATGATTTAAAATTTTCTATTATTTTTAATTTTTTGTGCAATGAATTTTGATAAAGAATTAACTTTTGTATAAAAAGAAAGTATTAT